ACGGGAGACCGGCCCAGGTCTCAAAAAGGTTGCCTGTCCCTGGGTTAGTAATTTAATTCACTATCTATTGTATTTTTTTTACTACCAGGAAGAGAAGGAGACATTTATATGATTTTTATATCTCAGGTGCCAAAATAACTTGTCTAGCCTTGGTACTAAGCAACCTGAGTTGGGTAAATATGGGGTTGCATTAGCTTCTTTAGCTCAGGCAGAAAATGTCTTGGGATAATCTAGTCTCTCAGGGTGTAATTATAATATTTATTAATATGCCACTTTCCCCCCCAGTATGGGACTCAAGGCAGCTTATAACAGATACAAAACACATTTGGGAAAGTCCAGAAGGCTGGATTCAACCACAAGGCTTCAGGTTCCCCACCTTGGCTTGAAATGGATACAAGGAAAGCAGCAGGGAGGAAAGGAGGTGCTTACCTAAAGAGGCCACATTTTCATAATTTTCTTGCATGACGTCCCGGTATAAAGCCTTTTCGCATGGGTTCAGCAGAGCCCACTGTCCCTCTGTGAAATACACAGCAACATCCTCAAAATCCACACTGCCCACCTGGGAAAGAAAAGGAACACCGAGGAGAAATGTGATGGAAGTACAGTGGGGGCCTTAGTATACGTTGGGATTTGGTTCTAGGATCCCCTTGTGGATAGCAAAATCTGTGGATGCTCAAGTCTCAGTATATACAATGGCATAGAGAAACGGTGTCCATTATATAAAATGCTAAAGTCAAGGTTTGCTTTTCGGAACTTATATATATTTTTGAATATTTTCATGCCATGGATGCTTGAATCCGTGGAGAAAAAAAAATGTAGATATGGAGGGCTGACTGTACATGGTTGCTGTGAGTCCCTGCAGCTTGGTGGGTCTCTGTGATGGAGATCCCTTTGGGGCATTTGCCTAGTGAGCTAAAACCAAACTTGGCATGGATGGCTGGGCAGACGAAGGGTTCAACAAAACAGCGTTAATGTATAGGAGGGGTAATAACTGTAAGAAGAAGGGAAAACCCTGTTAGTTTAAAAAAAGGAGAGTTAACAGAGAGGGAGGTTTAAGTGAGGTCTGGGCAGCACCTTTAGAAGAAAGGGGCTGGGATTTTGTGATAAAAGACTCAGAGGAAATATATCCAGGGATAGCCATTAGAGAGCCAGCATGGCATAGTGGTATGAGTGTCAGACTATGACTCTAGAGATCAGGGTTCGAATCCCAGCTTGGCCATGAAACCCAGTGGGTGATCTTGGGCAAGTCACACTCTGTCAGCCTCAGAAAGACAATGGCAAATCTTCTCTGAATACATCTTGCAAAGAAAACCTTATGACACTGTTGCCTTAGGGTTGCCATAAGTCAAACATGTACATGGTTGCTGTGAAAATGACTTGGATGACAGTATTGGGGGGCATAGTTATCAAATTTGCAGACGACACCAAATTAGGAGTAGTACCGTATTTTCCGGCGTATAAGACGGCCGGGCGTATAAGACGACCCCCAACTTTTCCAGTTAAAATACAGAGTTTGGGACATAGTTGCCGTATAAGGCGACCCCTCTTCCAATGGGGGAAAATGAGAAAGTGTTGGGGGGAAGGACTGCCAATATACTAGGTGATGCATTCTGGGGTATGTACAATTTGCGGCCAAGTAAGTGACCCTGGGCATGTCACACACTCTCATCCTCAGAGGATGGTAATGGCAACCCCCATTTGAAGAAACATGCCAAGAAAACCCCATGATAAGTTTGCCTTAGGGTTGCCAACTTTGGAGAAGATTTTCCAGGGCAAAAAAGTAGTCTTATACACCAGAAAATAAGGTAGCTAATACCCCAGAATTCAGGATCAAAATTCAAAATGACTTGAACAGACTAGAAAGCTGGGCCAAAGCTAACAAAATGAAATTCAACATGGAGAAATGTAAGGTACTGCAGTTAGGGAGGAAAAACAAAAAGCACAGATATACGATGGGGACACCTGGCTGAATGAGAGTATGTGTGAAAGGAATCTAGGAGTCCAGGTAGACCACAAGTTGAACATGAGTCAACACTGCGATGCAGCAGCTAAAAAGGCCAATGCAATTTTAGGCAGCATTAATAGAAGTAGAGTGTCTACATCAAGAGAAGTAATAGTGCCACTCTATTCTGCTTTGGTCAGGCCTCACCTGGCATACTGTGTCCAGTTCTGGGCACCACAATTCAAAAAGGATGTGCAGAAACTGGAGCATGTTCAGAGGAGGGCGACCAAAATGGTGAAGGGTCTGGGAATCATGCCTTATGAGGAACGACTTAGGGAGCTAGGGATGTTTAGCTTGGAGAAGCGAAGGTTAAGAGGTGATATGATAGCCTTGTTTAAATATTTGAAGGATGTCATATTGAGGAGGGAACAAGCTTGTTTTCTGCTGCTCCAGAGAATAGGATCCGAAGCAATGGATGGAAGCTACAGAAAAAGAGATTCCACCTCAACATTAGGAGGAATGTCCTGATAGTCATTACTGTTCAACAGTGGAAAACACTTCCTCAGAGTGTAGTGGAGTCTCCTTCCTTGGAGGTCTTTAAGCAGAGGCTGGATGGCCATCTGTCGGGGATGCTTTGATTGGGAGTTTCTGCATGGCAGGGGGGTTGGACTGGATGGCCCTTGTGGGCTCTTCCAACTCTATAGTTCTATGATTTTATGATTTGAAGGCACACAACAACAACAGCAGCAGCAGCAGCAGCGTTGGCCATGCAGCAAAGTACAATAACATCAAAAATCCACAACATAGGGATATTTTTATTGATCAATCAAAATGCACAAAATACATGTTGCGAGGTTTTGAAGCTCCACTGGCTTCTTCATCATGCTGAGCAAAGGAGAGAAGAAAGACTTTTTATTAAAGTGAGACTGAGAGCCAATCTAAGAAGGAATAAGGGACTGTCCCTGTCTGTCACCATCTCCTTTTCATGATTTTAATATGTTTTTAATCATACACATACTGTCAATATTCCATTAGCATGAACTTCAGTCTCAGTGCCTTTCTCTTATACAGTGGGCCTTTGGTATCTGCTGGGGTTGTTCCAGGAACCCTCTGGATACCAGAATGCATGGATGCTCGTCCCATTATATACAATGGCATAATGAAATGGTGTCCCTTACAACAAAGTCAAGGTTTCCTTTTGGGAATATTTGGGTGGGTGCATATTTTTCCAACCATGGTTGGTTGAATTAATAGATGCAGAATCTGTGGATACGGAGGGCTGACTGTATTATCAGTTTATACTGAATACTGAATGCCCTGCTAATAACAATAACAATAACAATAACAAATTATTTATTTATAGCCCGCCCAATCACAAGGAATCCGGGCGGGTTACAGCAGTAAAAGTGCATGGAATACAATAAAATTCAAAATTAGTCCCTTCCCCAACCCCAACCCCCCATCCAATACTAAAATGGACAGAGCGACGTAGATTGAATGTGTCTACTACAGTCAGCCCTCCATATTCACGGATTCAATCATCCATGGCTTGAAAGTATTAGAAAATACATATAAATTCCAAAAAGCAAATCTTGACTTTATCATTTTATATAAGGTGCATCATTTCTATGCCATTGTATATAATGGGACTTTAGCATCCATAGAGTTTGGTACCCATGGGGGTTCCTGGAACCAAATTCTAGCGGATACCAAGGGCCCACTGTATATACTGTTGCTCTATAAGAGAAAGCATGGACAAAAGATCTGGGGTAGTGAAGGGGATTCTGAGGCCCGACTTTTGTACAGCTTATTCATTAATGTGCATGCCTTGGTGTTTGTTGTCCTTACATGCCTTCAATACAACTCTGCACATGGTGACCCAGTCATAAGGTTTTCTTGGCAAGATTTCTTCAGAGGCTTGTTGTTGCTTTCCTCTGAGGCTGAGAGCAATGTGAGTTGCTCAAGGTCACCCCGTGAGTTTTCGTGACTGAGTATGGGTTCGGATCCTGGTCTCCTGGAGTCCTAGTCCAGTCCAGTACTCAAATCACCACACCATGCTGGTTTCTGGGCCTCAATGTGCCCTCTATAAATCCCTAATTAAAGGAGTTTCCTGGCAGCAGGACACCAAGCATGGAAAGCAAAATACATCATCATCCAGTAGTAATAGTGTAGTAGTAATTAGTTTATTTATTTATATCCTGCCTTTTTCACAGAACTTTTGGGACCCAACCAAAAAGAAACAGATAAACAGACATAGGGCTAAAACATACAAAAGATTTTTCTTAAATATAATTCAGCTACCCACAGGACTTAAACAATTTAAAAAGTCAAGGGTCAAAAACTATGCAGCATCTCTTAAAAGCCCTTTTCTTATAAATGTTCAGCTCCCCAAACAAGTCTTCATCTGCGAACACAAGAAGACAAGAAGAAGGGAGAGGAAGGGAGTTCCACAGCCTGGGAGCATCCACCAAGGACTTAGAATCACAGAATCAAAAGAGTTGGAAGAGACCCCAAGGGCCATCCAGTCCAATCCCTGCCATGCAGGAACTCCCAATCAAAGCATCCCCAACAGATGACCATCCAGCCTCTCTTTAAAGACCTCCAAAAAAGGAGACTCTACCACTCTGAGGGAATGTCTTCCACTGTCTAACAGTTCTCAGTGTCAGGAAGTTCCTCCTAATGTTTAGATGGAATCTCTTTTCCTGTAGCTTGCATCCGTTGTTTTCAATCCTATTCTCTGGAGCAGCAGAAAACAAGCTTGCTCCCTCCTCAATATGACATCCCTTCAAATACTTAAACAGAGCTTTCATATCACCTCTTAACCATCTTATCTCCAGGCTAAACATACCCAGTTCCCTAAGTCGTTCCTCATAGGGCATGGTTTTCAGACCCTTCACCATTTTAGCCACCCTCCTCTGGACAAAAATGTGATCCTTTATCACATGTTATCACACGGTGACAATTGGAAGTATAAATGGGGATTATCACATGAAAACTGCGCAATTGCAATAAAGGTTTTCACATGACAACGCGTTGAAAAGTGATTAAAATACCATTATCCCGTGAATTTTCCTGTGAATGATTCGTTGCTGTTTATTGCCTGGTTATTCCCAGGACAATGACTCTTGTGTGTGAAAATGTTAATCACATTTTAATCACAATTGCACGGTCTCCTCCTGGCATATCTGTGAAAATAGTGGGACTGAGAGAAGGGCCTCCCCCAAAGAGCTTAAAACTCACATTGGAGGATATTTTCCTCATATGTTTTCCTAACTATCAAGTCTTCATCCAAGTCAGGCAACCCAAAGAGTAATTTCATCTGTTCTGACTATTTTGTTTTATTCTGAATTATGTGTGTCTCTGTTTGTGGGGGTGTCTGTGGTTTCATTGTATTTAAACACTGTATTTTAGTATTTTATATTATTGGAATAGTTATAAATACTCTGTTCTGTAACTCAAAGATATAGCCTTGTTAGTCCATAGAATCAGTATGTAGAGAGATCTTGTAGCGCCTTTGAGATTAACTGAAAGGAAGAAGTTGGCAGCATGAGCTTTCCCAGACTTAGGTTTCCTTCCAAATGCATCTGAGGAAGTAGACTTAAAGCTATTCTGTAACAATTGTAAAGTGCCATGTACATGACTGGAGCTATATAAATAAACTATAATAATAAATTATAATAATATTTGGTTAGCCCTGCTTCTATATCTTTCAGCCATAAAGTGGCCAAAGATGGGGAAATGTTAATTTTTTTAGTGTGTATATTTTTGTCCTCACATTCATGTATATTAATATTTTAACATCGTATAAAGAAATAGCTCTCCTCTTTCTCTTCCCTCCTCACTTTTCTCTTCCCCTCCAGGAAAGAAAAGATTTGAGAAGCAAAGGACAAGGATGGAATAGGCAGAAAATCCTTCAAGTGCTTCTCCCCTTCCTTGGAGATAAAAATGCAAGCAAGGCTCATAAATTAAATCAAACGTTTTGCCCTTGGGACTCTCCTTTACATCTACATGTGCCCCCCCATGTAGTATATGAATAAAAATATTTTGTTTATTTAGTGTGTGTATTTTCATTCACACATTAAGGTACATTAATATTTTAACATTTTATAAGGCAATAAACATTGTTCAAATTTTACACAAAAAAAGTTTGGGAGGAGGAAGAAGAGGGGGGTATCAGATCCTCCAAGAGTCATGCAATTCTTGCACCCCTCTGGGGTCCAGCTCCACATTTTGAGAGTAGGGGATTCTGGACATGACATCAAAAAACTGGAGTAGG